CCCCCCCCGCCAGCCCATCCCCTGTCCCCACTTCTGGGCTGAGGGATCTTGGCTCCAGTTTACTCTTTGTTCAGGAGTATCTTGGGTATTTTCAGTATCTTGATCGTATTTGATAACTTGCGCAGGAATCTGCCCCATCTTGGGTATTTTCAGTATCTTGATCGTATTTGATAACTTGCACAGAATCTGCCCCAGGGATTGTTGTAGAAGATCACAGAAGGACTTGCTTTCCAGCCATTCACAGTTTCTTTGGGTGTGTACGTGTGTGTGGGGGGGTGAGGTTGCATTATTTTTATAGCAGGTAATAGTATTTCCTATAATCTTAAAGCATACAGTTATATAAAAATATTATGACTTTTCACCTGTAAATTAAAAAGTAGTGATTTTGTAGTATTTAAGGGGTGAGTGGAATTGTGTAGCTTTTTATTTTAAAAAAAAGCATGTTTCAGCATGTTTCAAATACTGAATCAGAGGTCCAAAATGAGGCAGCTTTGTTGTGTAATTTTCAATTACATTTATGCAAATATTTCAGTTTTTATCCCTAAACTTACACACAAACAAACCAAAAAAAACCCCAACCCAAAAAGCCAGAAAAAGACCACTTCTTTTTTAAAAGTAACTCACTGGCTCATTTCCAAAAAGTATGTTAATATAAGACATAACTTTCATCAATGATTCCTTGTAGAACTGACTAATAAATGGTACAGACAAATTAAAAAGAAAAAAAGCATGTTTCAGAAGTGGTACACAAACCAGATTTTCTTGAAGACTTTATCTCAAAGGTCTTCCTTTCCCTGTGTACACCGGATCATATTACCCACATATATTTTCCTTCTGGCACTTCTCACAATTTAAAATTATCTTGTGTTTATAAAAGGATTAGATAAATATTGTTAAACAATATTATATATGTTAGTGATATGATCTATCATATATATAACTGTATATTAATCATTTAGATAAAACCAAGGTTATAATAGCTTGGACATCAGATATTTGACTCTTAAAATGATACAAGTCCATATACTGAGCTGGTCATAAGTTGGTTTGGTCCAGGTATGGAAGTTCTTAAGGAAGCTCAGAATAATGATTTAATTATTATAGGTCTAATGATTTCCAGGATGGTCTAACAGTTTTATGAGGCCTTTAAGACCGTATTCTCCATTTCATTTTCCACTATCCATTATCTCTGAAATTATAGTTCTTTCTCCATCCATAATTCACACATGCGTGCTTTTTTTTTTTTTTAAGATTTTATTTATTTATTTGACAGACAGAGATCACAAGCAGGCAGAGAGGCAGGCAGAGAGAGAGAGAGGAAGGGAAGCAGGCTCCCTGCTGAGCAGAGAACCAGATGCGGGGCTCGATCCCAGGACCCTGAGACCATGACCTGAGCTGAAGGCAGAGGCTTAACCCACTGAGCCACCCAGGCGCCCTGCATGCGTGCATTTTATAGAGCATCTACTCTACACCAGGTCCTAGGGTTACGAAAATGAACGAGCTCCTCGTCCTGTCCTGTAGGAGCTTAGGTCTCAGACGAGAGTCAGATGGGCCATGGTGGTCTGGGTTCTGATTGCCGGGATGGGAGTAAATTCTAGGAGCAGTGGGAGGGATAGCCAGCCCACAGTTAAGGTTTTGAGCAAGAGACTTCTCAGTTGAGAACAAAGAAGTAAGGATTAGCAGTTGGTGGAGGTTGTAGTCTGTGAGAAGACATGATATGGGGGTGAGTTTGGGGGAAGAGGAGAAAAGTGGTTCCAGGGAGAGGAAGTACCATTTTGAGAGGGTCTGGAGCACTCAGAAGCAGTGGACATAACTTTTGCATGGAGGGAGCATAGATTTTTGAGGCAGAGATTGGTGTAAAATGCAGCAGGGAATGTAGGCAGAACCAAAGATAGGAAGGGTTTTACAATGTGATGTACTGTGTCTGGAGGACAGAGGAGAGACATGGTTGAACTTAGGGTACATGGACGATCCCATCCATCCTACAATGGCTTATCTGATTCTACACTTGGAATAGGAGACAGAGTGGGAATGGTCTAGAGCAAGGCCATCCCTGTTTCAAAAAAAAAAAAAAAAAGAAAAAAATCCCTTTGAAGTGCACAGCTTACTCTATGGCAAAATTAATTGCTTAAGTAACACCTTATAAAGTCAGGGTCAAGTCAGAAGCCTCCTCCTTCCTCCATCATACCTTTATTTTTTGTTCTTTCCTTCACCTCATTTTCCCATCCTAGAACAACAAGGTCACACTCTTCCGCCAGCTGCAGCAGATGACATACAGCCTGATTGAGTGGCGGTCCCAAATTCTGTCTGGAACCCTCCCCAAGGACGAACTGGCAGAGCTCAAGAAAAAGGTCACAGCCAAAATCGATCACGGAAACAGGTAAACTGGGGGTGATTTCACCAAGAACTTGGAAAGAGATGGGCACATTCATGCTAAGGACATGCCTCGCCCTCAGCTTTTGATCTTGGAATTGTCAAAGAATGATGCGTACTGTTTTCTTTTTGCGTTGAGAAACATTTAATTCTGTTGGGAAAATATGGCGGCCCCTCACATAGGCCAGACCTTGTGTGGGATCTCTGTGTCGAGGAGATGACAGACGATCAGGGAAGATGGGAATTTGCTGCCAAACAAGACTGAAAGGGACAGCGCATCTGAAGTCGCATTTTCCGAGGCCTGCATTGATCTCGGTTTTTATTCTGAGAGTGAATTTTATTTTATTTTTTTTTAAAGATTTTATTTATTTATTTGACAGAGAGAGATCACAAGTAGACAGAGAGGCAGAGAGAGGGAGGGAAGCAGGCTCCCTGCTGAGCAGAGAGCCGGACGCGGGACTCGATCCCAGGACCCTGAGATCATGACCCGAGCCGAAGGCAGCGGCTTAACCCACTGAGCCACCCAGGCGTCCCCTGAGAGTGAATTTTAAATCAGCATCAGACACATTCTCTGTCTTTCTCTCCCATGTTCCCTAACTGGGACCGTGGTGTGTAGTGTATGAAAACCAAATTTACAAGAAGAGTAAAACACATTTTTAGCCTGTTGATTATGCCTCCAGTCACCTCTAAGGAGTTAATCACTTCGCTAATCTTCGGATTAGCTCAAGTAGATACATAGGTTCTAGATGTTACTGCCCTTTAGAAAGTGAGAAATCAGTCAGTTCATCAGTTAATGGCCTGGGATGCGTCTCTCCTGACTCGTTCCTTTGAAGAGACTGGGTTGGTTCCTCAGTTTTGTTGATGATCTGTTTGACATCTCGTTTGGTTTTCTAAATTTCCTCAAGTTGTGCATAGGTGATTTTTTCCCCTTGCCCCTTTGCCTCAGGACCCTTGAATATACTTCTGACACCCGTTAAAGTAAGGCCCATTATCCTACTCAATTAAATGTTACAGACGCTGACAGCTGTATTCAGAAGAAAGCTGGGGTGACTACAGCATACAAGATTCAGATTCAATCGTTATATGAAATCTCCTGTGTACCCTTCACATGTATGGCTTGATTATAATCCATTTTATGATTAAAGAACACAGACCAAGTGAACTTAAGAGATTTATTTCTAAGTAACAGAGATTGTAAGTGGGGAAGTTGAAATTTGAACCCTAAACTTAAAATTCTGTGTAATGCTCCCTTCCTAGGGTTAGAATGGACTGTTCCCTCCCTTGTCACTTGTCCATTCATAGGACTGTATGCACAGGGGTTATATTTCTAGCTGGGTGCTGAGGCATTTCTTCAGAAACAGCGATGGTGGGCTAAGTCCGGTCCCTCCTGGTGTCTGTGCTGTCCTTGTATTTTTGGGTCTTATCACAGTGTGACATGGGCCTAGAGGTCTCTGATCTTCAGCAGAGGATGTTAATGTCCTATAAATAGCCAGACACGCCTGCCATCCCACTCCAGCTTGTAAAAGCTGCTTCATCTGTGTGTCAGTGCTTAGTCTCTGAGCCGCCAGCAAGACCCACAGCTCCTGTGTCTGGGTGGCCTGTGGGTCTGGCTGCCGTGGAAAGGAACCTGCCAGATTAAATCAGTTGATGGAGATGCTATAAAACAGGGAGGGGAGAGTCAGTCATTAGACATTTTTGCCTTCTTCCCAAAGACTTGGCACATTTCACTATTATCCCTCAGCTTTCTTGCTGTTTGGACATCCCTGTTCCCAAGTTGCTGGTTCCTGGAATGAACGCTGGGCATTCAGATAGCAGTATCCTCTTTCCACCACGTTCCCAAGTCTTGGAACGAAGCACATTTTTTTTCAACTTCTTTGTGCACATTGGGCATAAGAGCCTGAGTAGGGATTGTGCCCTGCATAGACCATATGGCTCTTTTCCTGTGTAACACTCAGAGCTACAACTTCACACAGCCAGGTGTGTTCTGGTGCCAGTTGCTGTGATAAGACCTGCCGTGTATGGAGAGTGGACTAGATACTAGACGCCACGTTACTTGCTTTACATGTTATCTCATGAAATTCTCACAACAACCCTGAATGGTAGGGAGTATTTACAGATGAGGAAGTCAGGGCTTTGCAAAATCAAGTAAATCACCCTGAGTCCTCTTGCCTAGCATGTATTCAAGCCAAGATTGAAATCCTGATCTAAGCGACAGCAGAGCTCCTGCTGTGAGAGAAGTTATGAAATTCCACCAGTCAGGACCCACTTCACTGATGGCCTTTAAGACAGTCTTGAGTTAACGGCTGTCCTCAACGTTGAACTTAAAGGAAATCAGGCAAAGCCCCCAGATATTTGGTCTATCATTGTTCTTATGTCAAGCAATAGAAAATTGGGAAGAGGCGTTGATCAGAGGAATCTGGTCAGAAGCAGTGATGGTTTTGCCTTTCCTGTGGAGAGTCTGTGGAATAAATATACTTTGCATATCATATGAATTTGATTAACACTACCATAAGTTTTCATAACTTACTGACCACAAGTTTTGGGGAAAGGAGGCAGACATCAAAAAGAGAGAAGCCAAGGAACTGTTCTTAACTTGATTGGTCTAGCACCCAACTTTCTAACCATGAATCCTCTGGGTTCTTTCCTGGGGAATCATCAGGAAAGAGTCTGTTCTTAATGAGGAGACTCACTGGTCACTGCTTTCTTTCTAGAATGCTTGGGTTAGATCTGGTGGTGAGAGATGACAATGGGAATATACTGGACCCAGATGAAACCAGCACCATTGCCCTCTTCAAGGCCCATGAAATGGCCTCAAAAAGGATTGAGGAAAAGATCCAAGAAGAAAAGGTACAATCCTCCAGTGTGCAGATTTGGGTCACTGAGATTCCATTTTTACTTTTGTTTTTAATGAGAGAAAGGGAGTCATTGACAAGAAGAGGCAGAAATGTTTAGAAAGTCATTCGGTGCCTCATTGAAAAGCAAAACATAACAACAAAAAAATGAGGCATCAATATACCTTCTGATATGGAAAGATTGCAAAGACATGTATTAATAGAAAGAACAAGATTTAAGAACAGTGTGTACAAAACACTAGTCTTTGTGTTTCAAAAAGGCATATACAGACCTCCGTGTTTTCTTATGCATAGACTAACTCCAGAAAGATAGACAAGAAATTGATAATTAATCCTTGCCTCTAGGAAGGAGAACTGGGTGGGAGGGAGCCTTTGTTCTGTGTAACCTGCTGTATTTGATATACATAATACAGTTTCCAAACTCAGTACAATAATATTTAAATATAAAGCATTTGAAAGGTTTTGAAAGTAACAGTGAGATATTAAATAAAAATGAGAAAAGTACAGAGAAAGAGAACAAGAAAAATGCCCCAAAGTATGATGGCACAGACCAAGCTGCATTGATATTTTGGTATATATTTTTCCAGTCTTTCTGTTCTAATGAGTAAAGGCTTCTGTTTATTTAGTTTGTAGTTTCATTTCTTTAGCACAATTGTGATAATATTTAATTGTGTTTCTGCATTCAATGTCTAACCACACTTGAGAATGAAGCCTTTCTAATGGAATCTCTTGTTTGCAATGAGAACTGTTCCCAAAAAGAGGGATAATGGATCATGATTTTTATGCCTCTGAGGTTCATTCAGAAGCCTTGTGGGAGATGAGAAATTCTGGAAGCTACTAAGCCATGAGTTGTCATCTTGAGGTAGCACTTACTGAATTCGCTGGGCTCGAGGCCCTGAACAGGACAGTTTGGGTTCTGTGTGTTTTTTTTTTTTTTTTTTTTTTTTTTAAGATTTATTTGCTTATTTGAGAGAGCAAGTGAGAGAGAGGGAGAGAGAGAAGACATGTATGGGGTGGGGGAGGGGCAGAGGGAGAGGGAGAAAATCTCAAGCAGACTCCTATCGAGCATCAAGGCTGACGTGAGGCTTGATCTCTTGACCCCGAGATCATGACCTGAGCTGAAATCAGGAGTCAGACCCTCAACGGACTGAGCCACCCAGGCGCCCCATGAGTAGGATAGTCTTGATCATCCAAATCATAGTGATTGTATTTTGCTCACTTAATCATCTGGCCACGTACATACACTTTCTTCTCAGTCGGTGCTTCTCCCCTCAACTGGCAATTACATTTGTCCCCATTTGATGGCCCATGTCTTTGCCATTATTCCCTGTTTGCTGCAACCTCGAGGCTTTTCTGTCTTTTCCTGTGTGTTCAGTCAGTTCTTCAGAACCTGGACTTGCGGGCCCAGTCTGTCTTCAGTGCCGTCCACACCTACGGCCTCTACGTGAACTTCAAGAACTTTGTCTGCAACATTGGGGAAGATGCTGAGTTGTTCATGGCCCTCTATGATCCAGACCAGTCCACCTTCATCAGGTAGTGGGGTCCCAGGCCATCCGCTGTTGACCTTGCAGAAACACCCAGCCTTCACCTGCCACCCACCTGAGGAGCCCTTTGCTCGTCCGAGAGCGGGAGATAGAAAAGGGGTAGGATCGTAAGTGGTAGAAAATAAAATCCTTCAGGCTACTGAGCCTTTCTTTGTGGCTGTGGGAACAGTACAGTGACTGATTGTGTGCTCCCTTCATCTTAGAATCCCATAAAGCTATCAGAACAAGGAGATGAGGACAAAGCGTTTAAAAGACTATGGGGGATGGGGTAAGGGAGGAATGCGTCAGCAGAGCACAGAGGATTTTAGGGCAGTGAAACTGCTCTGTGTGATTCCGTAATGGTGGCTGTGTATCATCCTACATTAGTGCAGATCATTAGGATGCAAGCACCAAGAGTGGACCCTGAGGTGAACTGTCGACTCGGGGCCGGGGGATATGATGGGGGGAGGTGTTGAGGTATCGGTGTGGGTTCTTCACCTGTAACAAATATACCACCGTGCTGGGGGGTGCTGATAGTGGGCGAGGCTGTGTGGGGGGCTGGGAGGCAGGAGGCTATGGGAACTCTCTGTCCCCTCCACTCAGCTTTGTTGTCAACCTAAAACTGCTCTAAAAAATAAAGTCTGTTAAAAAAAACAAATTTTTTTTTAAACTGTAGTGAATGATAGTAGGTTTCGTTCGACCCTATGGTCACGCTATCACTTAGCTGAGCAACTAAGAAAACAGATCGGTTTTTGAGCAGATGGTTAAAAGTAGTTACTGACAAATTGTTTATTTCTATAATCGAAATTTTATCTGGATGTGGTGGAGTGGATTCCAGGGCATGGATTTGGAATGATTATTCTAAAATTATATTCCTGGTTCGGCAAAGCTGAAGATCTTACACAAAGATCTGGAGGTGGAAGAAAGATACCAGGCGGAACCTGGCAGAAGCTGCTGCGTGTGTGCCTGTCCCGAATCCACGCTGGGCATGCGTCTCGGAGCCTGGCTATGGCACGCTCACTTCTCCAAAGCCGGGGGACCAGGGAGTGGCCCACTTGGGTGCTACATTGACACTTGCCTGATAAATTCAGCGGGGCTCTTTGGGGTCTTCTTTGGACCCTGTGAAGTCTGTGCCGTGGATAGGTCCAGTGCCAGTTAGCCCTTCATTAAGGATAATTTTTTTTTCCTTCACCAGTGAGAATTACCTAATTCGTTGGGGCAGTAACGGGATGCCCAAGGAAATAGAGAAGCTTAATAACCTCCAAGCGGTTTTTACTGTAAGTTCTACCTTACATCTAATCATTTCTTTGTGCTTACGATATTAGCAGATGCTCATGGTGAGTATATGGCAAAACCTCCAAAATGAAAAGCTGAAAAGGAGAATCATCATGATCCCCCTAGCAGGAATAACTGCTCATTTATTCAGCAGATATTTATCGGGCACCCATTAGATGCCAGCCACTGACCTAGGCACTTGAGACACAGTAGTGAACATATCAGAAAAAAATCCCTGGTCAAGGAGCTTTTCTCCAAAACAGGGAGACAGTAAGAAACGATGATCCAATAAACGAGTATGTTATATAGAATGTTAGAAGTCATAAGTACTTGGGGGGGGTGGGAGTTTCTGGGCTGGGGAAGGGGTGCCGTTTTAAGTAGACGGGTCAGGCAGACCTTCATGAGAAGGGGCCATTTGAGCAAGAGCTGAAGTTGACAAGAGAGTAAGCAATGCTGATAAAGAGAAGAGCATTCCAGACCCAGGGTACAGCTCAGGCAAAGACGGGGATCTTGACTTTTTTGTTTCCTCATATTTTAATGGACTTTACCCTGTACTCCTCCTCTTCTCCAAGGAAGGAGGAGTGCTGCTTTACATGGGTCAGGAGGAAGGAAATTTATTGGGTTATAGCCTGGGGCATGATGATTCTCTTTCTTTGGGGCTGGAATTTTCTTGGTGTTCTCTCCCTTTTTTAGGACATCAGAGCTTGAAGTGCCTTAGAGTTCTGCCATCTGCTCTCTACGAGGCCTGCAGGAGACGCTCTCTTCCTTCTCTGCCTTCTTCCCTTAAGCCCACGCACATATTTTATCTCCTTAATTCTCTTACCACTGATACGCAAGGAAAATAGAGTCTTAGAGAAAACGCCTAAAAACATGATACAGAGTGGTGGACCCAGTATAGGCTTATCAAATCTCTCCTTCATTCATTTCTCCTTCTTATTATCCATTCCCTCTGTTAACATCCCATTTCTGGGACAAGTGGGGTGTGATTACTACTCATGCATTGACCCACCTGTATCTCTACCACCTGGTAAACAAAGAGAAAGAGCTGGAACTCTTCCTAAAACCTCCCTTCTTCAGTTCACAGACGTGGGTTTTTCCCTAAAACCAAAAGGCATTTATCAGTCAATGTGTACCTTGAAAAAAACAATAAAAAAAGGAATTACTGACTTTCTGGTCCATCTTCTGCCTGAGAGCATTTTAGAAAAGCTGCATTTCATCCCCTTTCCCCCACCACCTCCCCCTACTGATGGGGATCTTCTTGGGATGCAGATTTCATGTCCAGCCTTTTCAATTAAATAAAATCTGGTGACTACTTCCTTGATCACTCAACATTCTACGAAAACTTCTTTTACAAATGATTGTACCTTGATGAACAGTAACCGTGTGTCATAATTTATGTAACTAGTCACCCGGAGTCTTTATCTTTCTGTTATTAAGAGAAGCCTTACAAAACCTAGAGCAGAAATTCAGGGTCGATGTTATCATTGCTCTGTATTCCTATCTTGGAGACCTGAGTTCACTAAACTATAGAGGATGGATTTGGAATGACTATTTAGAAAGTAATTCTCAATTCAGTAAAGAGGCCTTGGACAGCTGTTTCATGAAAGGAATTTGAGATGAAATTAAATTATTCCTCACGTTAAAGAGAATGAGATATGTGAGCTCATTCATGGGTTTACTCACCCATCCTTAAGAATACAAACAAGTGTAGAACATGAACCACAAAAAACCAGAGACATCTCATCTACACATCTTTTGTTAATCCACATACACCCAGAAGCTCTCAGTGAATACCTCTCGTAAAACAGATGAATAATTACAGAAACCAGCACATGTAAATTTCTCTGTTATAGTTGTCTCACAGGATTATTTGGAAGATGAAGTGAAATAGCACCAGCCTGTGTAGACCCCCAGTAAAGATCAGCATCTTGCAAGCTTTGATTCCCTTTGACACTGGCATGCTTCAGGGGCTCTGCCATATCCTGGCAGAATATAAAGTAGCAATGACAGATGTCCCGACTTTTAAGTACCCAGCTTAAATTGATAAGTTAGAGACTTTAGATTGAAAATGATCGGATTTCTCGATTTGAAGTAGGAACTGGGAAATCAAACAAATGCCTTCCTTTTTTAAATACAGTCATTTTCCACTGATGCCATGGTCATTCTTGGATGGGAACGGGGGAGGGAGGGAGTTGTCCTGCTATTTCAGCACAAGAAAGAACTCTCTGAATGGTGTTCTGTTGTCGAGTGAGAAGAGAAACAAAGGTGACAGGGTGATGCAGCTCGATCTCCTTTTTGCGTGTTCTCTGTCCCGTAGGACCTCAGTAGCACAGACCTCATCCGGCCCCGCATCAGCCTCGTGTGCCAGATTGTCCGGGTGGGCCACATGGAGCTGAAGGAGGGCAAAAAGCACACATGTGGGCTCCGAAGACCTTTTGGAGTAGCAGGTACAGAAAGACCCAGAGACAACTGTAAACGCCGCAGCCACTGTAAAGGACAGCATGGCAGGGCCTCCAGCGATTGAACATTGAACTTAGGATCCAGGAATCCCACTTCTGGGTGTCCGCCCAAAAGAACTGGAAGCAGAAGGCCTCAGGATACTTGTACATCCGGGTTTAGAGCAGCCTTATTCACACTAGCCAAGAAGTAAAAGCAACGCAAGTGTCTGTGGGTGGATAAATGGATAAGGAAAATGTGGTCCGTCCAGACAGTGACCTATCATTCAGCCTGAGAAAGAAAGGAAATTCCACAACATGGCTGAACCTTGGGGCTGCTGTGCAAAGTGAAATAGGCCAGTCACAAAAAGATAAACATGGCATGGTCCCACTCCCACCTGTGTGAGGTGCCCAGAGTGGTCAGATTCATTATGAGCAACGGAAGGTAGAGTGGTGCTTGCCGGGGGTTGTGCGGAGGGGGACAGGGGAGGGTTAGTGTTTAAGGGGGACAGAGTTTCATTTTGGGAAGATGGAAAAGTTCTGGAGAGGGTGCTGATGGCCACACAAAGGATGAATGTGCCTAATGCTGCTGAACTGTACCTTTAAGAATGGTTAAAACAGCAGATTTTATCCCCACCACACACACACAATTGACTATAGGAGGGAAAACCCAGAGACAGCGCAAGATGAATTTGGTTGTCAACGTGAGTATTGGACACACAGCGGTTACTGCCTGGGGCTTCCAGTTATCTTTTCTGGGGGGTTCCGAGCCCTCACCTAGACCCCGCCTCCTTTGTTTCTCCCTCAGTGGTGCCCCACACAGTGCCTTGTGCACGGTAGGATCTCAGTAAAGCCTTGTTTGGACTCTCGGCATTCTCCCTGCCTGTGGGCTGATTTCAGTCCAGTAAAACTCTCCCTGGAAAGTGGTTTGCCTGCCTGGACGATTCACTCTTCAAAGGCAACATTGGATTTGTAGTCCCTCTCAAAGAGGGTCCTTGGCTTACATCAAGCCCCACAACCTCCCAAGAGGCCACGCATTTTCTTCTGTAGTTTGTTCGATTAAGGAAATACATTCCTGGTTGTACATTGATATTTCAGTCACTGAGAAGTTTTGAAAGCTGTCGATGAAAGGCCTTAATTCTCCTGGAACAAATAGCCAGAGAATGTCGGCAGGACTGACCTTGTGGGTTGTGTGGGTAACAAGGCTTCTTCTCCATGAGGCCGTGTGCATGGTCATTCCCTGACCAACCTTGCCCTCCCACTGGCTGCTCAAGGCCTGCCAGTCTCTGAGGAGGCACGGCATTCCTCCTGACAGAGCATTAAAATGAAATCTCAGAAAAGGGAAGGAACTTAGCCATTTATATGACAATCCACTAAGCTCTGTTTAAGGGGGGGTGGAGTGGTGTGTGTGTGTGTGTGTGTGTGTGTGTGTAACTGTCATTTACTCTGAGGATCGATGCCAAGCATCGATCAGCAGAGATCTTGGAGTAACTGCATGACGGCATCGACAGATGAACCGCCCCTTGGAAGAGGGGTGGTGCCAGATACAGATTTTTCAGGTTTTGGTTTTTTTTTTGGTACAGTGTTTGCAGGGGTCTTATCTGACAGCAAGCTTTTGCAGCATCCTTTCACCAACATTATTATTTCCCAAGCCTTACCCACTGTGGTTTGGGTTACTTTGAGAAGGCATTTCCTTCCTTATCCTTTAGTTTTTCATCTGAGAAATGTTTCCTATCTCAGTACTTCTTCTAATCTTCAAACAGGTTATCTGGGAGTGGATGTTGAGGTGTGTTTTATGGCCCGATTGTAATTCATTAACCCAGGGCTAGCCTCTGTGGGTGCAGGACGTGCTGTATTTGTTGCTCTTCTTGTGTGCAGAGAAGCAAATCACTGTGCGATCTTCTGGGTTGCTGCTGCCCTGCCCTGCCTTCCCTAGTGAATGTGGAAGCCAGGTGCGACTGCATCAAGGCCAAGAGATGGTTGACCCCTTCGAGTCTTGAGTTTCTATCTCAAGTCCTCATTCTGTTGACACTCCTGATATAAAATATGTGTGCTCTGTGTCTTTGAATGCAGGCTTGCTAAAAAACAAAACAAAACAAAACAAAACCAATCTGGTTTCCGATTTCTCAAGAATTTAGCATTTGGTTGTGTAGAATTTTAAGAAGTGGGTAGTCTGCCGGATTGATCTAAGAAAAATACAAACCCTGAGCTCCGTGTCTGAGCTCCTGATGAATTAATTGTTCTGCAGGCTGGGCACCAGAAGTCATAGCTGACAAAGACCAAAGTGTCCCCGCGTGGTATCTCACTTCTCTAGTGTCCTGTGTTTGCAGATACTATAGTTTTCCATAGTAACTTACTGAAGCCTGACACAGTTAAGTTCTTTAATTAAGTTTTATCTTTTTCCTAGTGATGGATATCACTGATATCATACACGGGAAGGTGGATGATGAAGAAAAGCAGCATTTTATTCCCTTTCAGCAGTAAGTACTTTGGCATTGATCCCGGGTGACTTCAGACCTGGATGAGTTCTTTGAATGATCTGTTAACACAGAACCAGGTGCTAGGAACCATTTGCTCAGTTCCAGAAGGAAAGCCTTGTAACTGGAAGATTGTGAGATAGAAGCCGACGGAAGACTTTATTCAGGGTCCTTTATATTGAGATCACATGTAGGAGGGTAAGCCTAACTTTTCTGGTTCGATAGAAAGGACTGATGGAATAGAAGGGGCAAATCTGTATCTGCAGCAGAAGCCAGAAAATGGTGCCCCATAGGTGTTAGAAAGGCCAGAGTATATTTGCATTCTGTTGTCAGGAACAGATATTACAGAGGACAGAGCGTCCTGTAGGACAGCTCAGGGTTCCCTGGAGATCTTGTTAGAGTGCAAAACGTGGTCTGGTGGGTCAGGAGGCTGCCGCTAACGAGCTTCCAGCTGGAGAGCACACTCAGGGTTGAAGGTGTTTAGGAGGTTGGAGAGTGAGGGGCTGACTAGTAATGCCTGGGTGTCTGTGGGGGGAGGGGAAGCCAGTCTGGGAGGACACCGAAGGATTGCCTGAAGAGCTCCGCTAAGGCCTCCGGGCTGAGCTTCAGGAGCTGGAGCCCTGTGTGGGTGCCTGTGGGTCATGGGCCAGCAGGTGTGAACCCACAGGCCTCTGAAGAAGTGTATGTGTGAACATCAAGGCTCTAGCAGTTGTGGTCGCCTTATCCTGGGCGTGGGTGGTGGCAGCCTAGAGGAGATGGCAGACCATGCTGGAATGGAGCGGTCCTATCAGTGAGGAAGGTGACTATCTCAGCCGGCCTGCAGCTGCCACAGTAGATCAGTAGAACCGCTGAGAACTCTGGAAACCAGCCCAAGGATACTGAAATTAACATACGATTTTTAAAAAAATCATAGCACAAATCAGTGGAGAAATAGGAACTATGCAGAAATGAACTGTTTGACACAGTTAGCCACCCATTTACGAAACCCAGGTTAGAACCTGTCTCACATCGTGTGCCACAGGAAATTTCACATGATTAAATGTGTAAGTATAAGAACTAGAATCTTAAAATACTACAGGAAAATCGGAGTTTTATATAATAGTGGTGAGTGGGAGGCCTTGCTGACTCAGACGGCAAAGATCTGACTGAAAAAGAAAAATTGGCAGGTAAGCCACACAAAAATTTTAAATTAAGTTATTTAAAACTTAGGTACAGAATAAAGTTTAGTAAAATGTTTGCAATGTGTATTAAAAGAGAATGAATATTGTTACTATATAATTAATAGAAATTCATAAGGATATGAGCATAAAATAATGTATGTGTGTATATATACACCCAAATGTGCATACAAACACAGAAAGAAATGGCCCAGACATTCATTGAGAATCCGTGCAATTTGGTTTAACAAGGAGTTTTGGTATTTGGTTTGACCGAGTTTTAAAAATATATATAATATCCAGAGTTTGGCTGGGTAGAAGGAAATATACAGTAGTTATAGGAATATAAACTATTACAATGCATTAAAGGCCTCAAAATTTAGATATTTCAGAGAATATACTCCATAATTAACAGTGATTCTTTCTGTTGATGTGGCAAAAGGTGATTTTTCCTTTTTTTTTAACGTTTAACAAAATTTTGCGAATTTTGTTTACTCTGTATTTCTATTTTTTCTACAAAAACTATGTATGATATATAATTTTATTTAAAGTATAAAAATCTTCTTGTTCAGTTTAAAGCCCACCAGCTTTAGACCAGTTTCTAAATGTAATAGTACAGATAGCTAAGTAGCAGTTCCTTCCTTCATCCAGAGGCTGCTATAAATAATTTTTTAAAAGGGCTTATCTAATACCTTACTACCTATGTACTGACCCTCTAAGAATGTGGTGAGGTATATATTTTATGCTGCTTAGTGCTAATATGAATTAATGAGGTGACTTTCAAATTCATGGATGCTGATCCCAATATAAATAAATAAATAAATATATATATATATATATATATGTTCAAATATATTAAATAAATATGTAAAGTGTAACAAATATAATTTACTAACTATAATCTTATATTAATACATTAAGTTAAATGTATCGATATATTAAATATGACTATATCTTAAACATTAGTGAATAAATATGAAATAATATATAGAATAAATGAGTATGTAGATATATTAAAATGTATATATTATACTTACAATAAATATAGACATAAAGAACCTTCACATCCATGAATGTTCCTGTTACATATACATGTATAATGTATCACTATGTATCACTGTTACACGTTACCTATCATTACCTAGATATTATACGTTACCTATATCATTATCTAGATATGCATATGAGATGTGTATGTACGTGATAGGAGCAGCACGCATGGATGTGGAAGTTATTCTGTATGCTTGTTTCACTACTGAGGTGGGTTTCTTCCTTTGGGTGTGTGCCCCCCGCCTCATCTCTAACCAGCTCCCATCCCGAAGCTGTGTTGAAACAGCCCTGAGGTCACCTTCACTGTGTGGTAATGCACGCTGAGTTTCCGAGGAGCCCAGCCCTAATTCGATTACCGGGCACTGTGCAGCCAACAGGCACCGTAAAGCATTCGTGATGCAGATCACAGTCTCTGGCTTTTAACTCCTAAGATTTATGGCAGATGCTTTCATAACTTACCTCATCAATAAGCTTTACAGCGTATTATACGAGGAGAGTCTCCTGGATAGATTCTGCTAGTCTGTCTAAGGGAGCGTCCTTTGAAGGCAGCCACTCAGTCCGCAGCCGCCTCGCTCTTCAGTGGGACACTGCAGTAGGTTTCCTCACTGCTGTCCCGGCACAGATCAGACGCCTACAGAGAAGGCTGGCCTGTGTCGTGGTGGGAGAGAGAACGAGACCACAGCAGAGAGGGAGCCCGCTCACCCATAGCAGGCTGATCTGTGCTTCTGAGAGCGCTTGTGCTGTCAGGAGGGGCTGTGTTTGGGTCCTGGATCTCAGCCTGGTCGATCATGAGAGTGAAGCTGGTTTGCTGGTGGCTGTGCCATCTCACTCTCACTCTAAGGGTCTGAGATCACCCTCCGAGAGCGGTTGCGTGCGTGAGTGCTGGTGCCAGATGGAGGCCTTTGCAGGCGTATGATGTCTGCCCGTTTTATGGATGAGGGAACTGAGGCCCAGAGTTTATGTCAGGTAGAACCAGGACCGGAGGCCAGGTCACCTGTCCCATCCCCACTGCTGCTTCACTTCCGTGACTTCAGCCTCCCCCACCTCAGAAAGAGCATCAGGCCTTGCCTCTGATTTTAACATTTGCCATCAGTTTTATTTGTTCTTGGGAGGTTGTTTTTTTCCTTTTTCCATTGGGTGCCTACCTTGGACACCAAATTCATCTTGGAAATGACCAAGACAGGCCCCCAATGGAAAAATAAAGGAAAGGGAGAGTCCTCTAGTGAGGTGTGTGTAGTGTTTAGATTTCCAAATTACTCCCATAGGACCCACCCTATCTGAAGCTGTGCTATAGAAACTTCCTCTTTTTTTTTTTTAACCTCTCATTTCTGACTTTCCCCAGAATTGCAATGGAAACGTATATCCGGCAGAGACAGCTAATCATGTCACCCCTGATAACATCCCATGTGATTGGGGAGAATGAGCCACTCACTTCAGTCTTGAATAAGGTGATAGCAGCAAAGGAAGTGAATCACAAAGGACAAGGTACACAGCCCTGTGCACTAAGCTGGGAGGGGACTTGTGGGGGCAGCACTGGAGCTGGATCCTTGGACTGCCGACCCTTTTCTCTACCTTTCTCTGATGCAAAGCAGACCCTGCTGGGGACTGCTCCCTGCAGCTTCCTGCTGAATGCATTTAACACTGAAGAGCTTAGAGGCTGCACTCAGCACATAATTGGATCACAGCTGTGTTTTGTAAATTCTGTGCAACAAATTTTTATCCCACAAGCCCTTTCTCAGTTTTGTCTCCCCTACAATCCCAATGCTGATTCTAGGTAAATGCACAAAGAGAATCAAGTTTGGGGATAATTATGTACCACCCTCGGAATGCTTGTCCTATTACATTACCTAAAATTAAGAGTAAAGAGACCAAAGTAATACAAATGAATGGATATTCATTTTTTTAAAGATTTGATTTATTTATTTGAGAGAGAGCGCGCACAAAAGTTGGGGTAGGGAGAAGCAGACTCCGCACAGAGCAGGGAGCCCAGTGGCTGGATCATGACCCAAGCCACCCAGGCACCCCTGAACAGATAATAATATGAAATAATGGGCTAGCTAGCAAAACACTTTGAGTTGTTTTTAGTGTTTCCATATATCATCCTGTTGACACAGTTTTTTTTTTTTTTTCTTTTTAAGATTTTATTTATTTATTTGACAGAGATATCACAAGTAGGCAGAGAGACAGAGAGAGATGAGGAGAAGCGGGCTCCCTGCTGAGCAGAGAGCCGATGCGACACTCGAACCCAGGTCCCTGGGAGCATGACCTGAGCCGAAAGCAGAGGCTTAACCCACTGAGCCACCCAGGCGCCCCCTGTTGACACAGTTTTAACTAAGCAATTCTGCTCATTGAAACTGCATTTTAAATTCGAATAATATTTTTAAAAAACCAGTTAAAATTTTATAATTCAAGTACTATGATGGTGATGATATGGGGAAGATGGGTCACTTTTTGTTTTTTTACCACCCTGGAACTATCTTCTACTGAAGCGGAGGCAATCAGGAAACACATTATTATCAGCGTATTTCATTTTCCATGTGTTCACAGTTGATCTGGGTAGGAAAGACATGTGAGGAAGCATTAAAGAATCTGAAAATAAGGGCGCCTGGGTGGCTCAGTGGGTTAAGCCTGTGCCTTCAGCTCAGGTCATGATCCCAGGGTCTTGGGATAGAGCCCTGCATCGGGCTCTCTGCTCAGCGGGAACCCTGCTTCCCTCCCTCTCTCTGCCTGTCTCTCTGCCTACTTATGATCTCTCTCTCTCTCTGTCAAATAAATAAATAAAATGTTAAAAAAAAAAAAAAAAAAAAGAACCTGGGGGCACCCGGGTGGCTCAGCGGGACAGGCCTCTGCTCTCGGCTCGGTCAGGGTCTCAGGGTCCTGGGATCGAGCCCTGCATCAGGCTCTCTACTCGGTGGGGAGCCTGCTTCTCCTCCCTCTGCCTGCCCCTCTGCCTACTTGAGATCTGTCTCTCTCTGTCAAATAAATAAAATCTTTAAAAATAAAAAAGAATCTGGAAACAAATAATGAAATATATATCTTTTATTTTAGAACTCCTAACCTAGGATATGATTTATTAGAGTGGAAAATCCTTACACTAAGTAAATTGCTGTACATGAGTAATTCCTTTCAGAAAAGTGAAAAAAAGTATTTGCTCTCTTGCTGCTTAACAAAGCAAGTGCTTTTCAAATGTTTTTATGCTCATAACAAATATTGTTTCTATGGCTGGCTGCATGATATTCCATTGCTTGGATCCCCCTAGGGAAGCATTTAAGTGTTTTCTGTTTTGTCCCCATTATAAATTTAAATAACTCTGCTGTGACTACTTTTATACGTGAAGCTTTTTCCATATTTAGGGTTATCTCCCCAAGAAAATTCCCAGAAGTAGGACAGCTGGGGCAAATGATGGGAACAGGCTCCAACTTAGAGATACCCATATTACCAGATTGCTTTCCATCGACTTCTGCCAGTGGTGCTAATTACCATGGTGCCTGCTTGGTGACCCGATAGTTAAAAATCTATTTGTTGGGCGCCTGCGTGGCTCTGTTGGTTAAGTGCTCAGCTCTTGATTTTGGCTCAGGTCATGATCTCAGGGTCATGAATCCTGCCATGTGTCAGGCTCTGTGCTGAGCATGGAGCGAGCTTAGGATTCTCTCCCCTTCCCCCGCTATTCATGTGCTCTCTCTCTCTCAAAAAAAAAAAAAACTCTAAAAAAAAAACTTTACCTATTTGAAAGGTGAAAAGTAGACTTCCATAGTTCTCTTGCAGTTAGAAAAAAAACTACTTGATGGGGAATTACCTAGACTTCTTACGCATTCGTGAGTTTTTCTAAAGTTTTCCTTCTCAGTTTTTGTGAAGATAACGATGTCTTATATAGAACATGTATTTTTCAATTTTTGATTTGTTAAATATTTGCCAACTTCATGTACTTCTTTGTGAATTGTCTATACATGTTCTATTTATTTGTTGTTTTTCTTGTAATTTCATAATAGGTATTTCACCCTTTTGTAGCATGCCTTTCACTTCTTTATAAATATCAAAACTTTCCATTTGTGTATAGATAATTCTTTTTTTTGAGATTAATTTATTTACTTTAGAAAGAGTGCACATGTGCACATGGACACAAGTGTGGGGAGCGGCAAAGGGAGAGGGAGAGAATCCTCACGCGGACTCTCCAGTGAGTGTGGAGCCCCATATGGGATTCAATCCCTTGACCCTGAGATCCTGACCTGAGCCAAAATCAAGAGTCAGACGCTTAACCGACTGAGCCACCCAGGTGCCCCTAGATAATTCTTTTTCTATGTGATTTCTTCATTTGTCTATACTTAGAAAAAGGTTCATTTTATTTTTTTTTGTTATATTAGGAATTTATTTTAATGAAAACGTGAGGTGAGAAATTAGTTGATTCTCTTTTTAAGTAGCAAGAAAATTATTCCAGCACATTTGTGATGTTGTTTCTTTTTTCAGGATTTGTTATGCATCTTTACTATATATTAAATTGCTATATATTATAGTGCTTAATCTAATTGTTTCCATTGATTTATATATATCTTTTCTACCACTAGTAAAATACTTCCTTATAGCTCTACAATATTTTGGTATCTGATAGGGGCTATCTTTATTCGTGTTTTTTTTTTCCCCCAAGTAAACATGTGTTCATTCATACCTCTGTCAAATTCTCAAGGAAGTCTTGTTGTGATTTTGATAGGAATGTCATGAAAATGATAAGCTAACTGGGGGAGCATTTACATTTTTATAATAAAATATCTGTATATTTTATTTTTCAGCGTTTCTATGGGTATTTTTGGTATAGATCATAAAGAGAGCTAAAAGTTCATTCTTTATTTCTTTAAAGGACTTTGGGTATCTTTGAAGCTTTTGCCAGGTGACCTCACACAGGTTCAGAAGAATTTTTCGCACTTGGTGGATAGATCAACTGCCATTGCCCGAAAAATGGGATTTCCTGAAATAATACTTCCAGGTAAAAGCTTTTGCGTGGTTCACCTGTTCTGCAACCTGTAGTTTCTCCTTCCATGCAGCAGTTACTTCTGATGGGACAGTTGAGTCAAGGTAAGAACCTCTGTGGTCTTTAGTGACCCGCATCCGTGGTATCAAGACAGTGGGAAACTCTAAGAGGGCCACGGTACCCAGTGCACGAGCCCAGGGTGATGCTTTTACGTGTTAACTCAGAAGTTCCTCTTCATGCTTTTCCTTTCTGCTCAGCACAGGCCCCTCTGAAATTCTTCCCTACATTATCCCTTAAGGATCGCTATGGTAGCACAGTTTTTGGGCCCCAAGAGTGATGTGCCTCGTCACGTGTCCCTTTCTTGGGATGACATCACCAGCATCGGGGCTGCTGGCTGAGAAGTTCTAGTGAGGGGCCTGCTCAGCTCAGTGTCTGTCAGACACTTTGCTCCATTTGCTTAATCTCCACCTGTGCTCTTGGCTCTCCCCATACGTGTGGTCATAAGAATGTAAACATTCCGTGGTTTTCTTACTTTCATTTTGTCTTTTCTGTCACCATATGTTAGTGATCTGCACAGGTGTTCTCTTAAATTTGCAGACTTAACCCATTTGATTTCTTAATCTTTATAGTAATAAATCATTTCAAGTGACTTTATATAAGATATGTATGTGTATTCCATAAAGCATAGGTGTTATAAATATTAAAATATATATATTTTTACAGATAAGTAAATAGAATATATAAGTAAGTAACCTTTGGCATGTTAGGAAAATTTTAGAAAACCATGCTGTTGTCTTCTATATAAAACTTGGGGTTCCATTAAAGTAACACAACATCTTATTCTTCCTTCCGGAGAGGAAGGGGCAGTGATGACGTGTTGCCACACACATCATCTGCACGTAGTTGGCATTAAAAAGGATGAGTAGGAAAAAGCTGTCTGTAAAACGGAGACCATCTTTTTCTTTTCTTGTGGAAGAAGGTGGTTCTTTATCTGCTGATGTCATCCCTTCCAGACTCCCTCAGCCCAGTGTGTCTTCATCTTCATTCTGTGAAAGTGTTTTGTCTTCTTGTTTAAAAAGAAATGAGCACTGGTGATACCCCTATAACCGAAGGCAGTGTTATTACGACAGCAAGAGTGAAAATCTGAAACAATAACACGGAGACGTGTATTTTTGGAAACAAAGTGAATTTGTCTTTGAAATCGGCTGGCAAGATTCTTTCTAATCTTTCTAGTCAATAGGCTTGGTTCCTGGACCGCCAAGGCCATCATAGGCTTAGGTAATCACCTAGGACAATGGCGCCCAAATGCTGGTCTTTGGATCAGCTCGGAAACATTACAGTACAGGTTCCTACAGTGATCGAGAGACTTGATTTCAGTTTGTAAAACCAGGGCTCCCCTGATGATTCTGGTGATCAGCCAGTTTTGAGAAATAAGTCCAGACCAAGATTCCTTACCTTGTCGCTCCTCATCCCCTTTTGAACAGGCTACAGAGATGCCCGAAGCCATTCCCTCAGCCCGACTTTCCCCTCTAGCCCAGGCGCTCCTGTCGTCTCCGTCATCTGCACAACCAGAATCTCAGAAGCCATCACATAACGTGCTCTATCTCTTCTTCTGCATCTGCCAGTCACCCTCTGTTCTGACCAGAATGGTGTCGCTAGAGTTACCCGAGAGTGGGTGTCACTAGGTCCGGTGGATATTTTTTAGCCTAAAGATGATCTCGGGTTCCCTCAGCAGCATGTGACACTGTTGACCACCCCCTTGGGGAAACGGTGTGCCCTCATCATCAGGGACCCACATTTGCCTCTTTGTCTCCATTTCCCTTTGCCACCATGTCACCTACCCTGCCTTTAAATGTTGGAGTTCCTCAGCATCTGGTCCTTATGTCCTCTGTTAGTTTGCTCGGGTTGCCCTATTAAAGTACCCACAGGGCTGGGCAGCTTCGACAAAAGACACTTATCTTCTCATACTTCTGGAAGCCAGAAGTCTGAGATGTCAGTGGGGTTGGTTCTTGCAAATGTCCTTCCTTGGCTTAGAGATGGCCTTCTGCTCACTGCGTCCTCACATGGCACCCCCGGGTCTAATCTGTTGTTATAAGGACACCAGTTATATTGGATTAGCGCCCACCTCATGACCTCCTTTTACCTTAGTCATCCATTTAAGGGGCCCATCTCCAAATACAGTCACATTTGGAGGTATTAGGGGTGAGGGCCTAAGCATACGAATTTAGGGGGAACAGTTCAGTCCACAGCAGGCCTCTTTTCCTTCTCATACCTATATCCTCTTCCTGTGTGATCTCATACACTCATTTTGCCTCTGTGAACTAGTTGTCTCTAAATCCATTTCCTTAGCCCCAAGACCGCTCCTTTGAACTCTGGTACCATAGATCCAATTATTGCCTGCCTCAGGACTTCAGTAGCTACTGTTCCTACCTGACTGGATCTCTCTTCTCCTCTTACGGGTTAATTCTTACTCAGAATCCCCATCTGGAACTTGTGGTCTTTGAATCTAGACTAGCTCTTCTGTTGTATTTTATCTAAGAGAATGGCACCCTTGTCCATCCAGTTGCACCAACAAGAAGCCTGAAAGTCAGCCTTGAACCTCCCTTTCCTTTACACCTTACATAAAGTTAGAGACTAAGACTTGTCAGTTTTACCTTTGGAAGGCTTCGAGTCCATTCCCATCTCCCCTTCTCCATTGCAGTAGCTACATTAGTGGTAGTTGCTGCCATCAGTTCCCTGGACAAACCGTATGTTTAGACCACAATACTGTCTACTGCCTCTGGACCTTTGCACATACTACATTTGCACTTTTTTACTCTCCTGTCTCCAATATCAGCTCAGAGGAAAGATTCTCACAGCCTCCAGACACAGTTGGGACTTAGTGTTATGCCTTCACAGAGCCTGACCTTTTCCTTCATTGATGATGATGCATTTTGTCTGTGATTTTCTGCTAATGGCTTCTCTCCTCCGCTAGACCATAGGCTATGTGAGAGTGAGCCTGGTGCATGGCTCACCATTGTCTCCCAAACACCTGGCACAGTGCTTGGTACACAGCAGGTGCTCAGTGAGTTTTTTAAATGAATAAATGAAATTAGCTCATCTGATTATTCTGTAATTTATTCAGACTGCTGCCTATTGTTGGAAATTGAGGATTTTCCAAGTTTTCACTTTAGTAAACAATATCATAGTAAATATCCTCATAGATAAATCTTTGCTTGCATTCTTAACACTGTGGGACAAATATTGCCAGTGAAGTTGCCTTGTCTGATAAGGCTTTTAACACAAATTTCAGTTTCTCTATTGACAAAGTGTATGTCCGTGAAGATTTTGAACTATGTTGTATGAATAAGCCCCTTTTGCTTAACCTTAGCCAACTGCGGGCAAGACCTTAATTTTTTCCTAAGCAGATGAGTGATGGGAATGAAAAGTGCTCTAAATGTGCGCCCCTGTTTTCTTATCGTGCTGGAACGTTTTATTTTTTTTACATTGGGGGGCAGTTTAATACAGTACAGATTTTGGAGTCCTTTTTATAATACCGAGCCTTACTGGCCAGGAACTTGGGATGCCTTTCATTCGTTCTAGGTTTTGTTTAAGCATCTTACTAACATTCAATTTTTTTTCTTCCCTGTGGGGGCTATTCATTTGCTAATTAGTTATTAAAATTTTTTGCTGGACAACGAGGAATATGACAAGCAGAAATGATTCTGGTCCTGGTAAAAACAATTAAGCTGATTTAAATAAACGTAATGTTTACCTATAAGACATGTTGAACAGTGCCTAGCACAGAGGAAATACCCAATAAATGTTAGCTTCTGTTATTTTCAGATGTGTTAGAATACCACCCTCCAAGGCATACTAAAAAAAAAAATCTGCCGCTGTAACCTAATAAAATATATTGTGTACTTATTATTAGAAAACAGTTATTAATAAATAGAACAAAGGATTACTGTTGAAAAGAGTTTGTTTTAAACACTACATTTTAGGGCTACTTTGGTGTATATGGAAAGATAGGGTGAGGGAAGTGCAAGAGGACAATACATACACACACTTCTGCTCTGTGAATAGCTCCCTGTAAAGTCAGAGCATTTCTTTTGTTGTTGTTAAGATTTTATTTATCTGAGAGAGAGAGAGAGTGAGTGAAAGAGAGAGTACAGTTGGTAGGGGGAGGGCCAGAGGAAGAAGCAGACTCCCCACGGAGCAGGGAGCCCAACGCAGGCCTCAATCCCAGGACCCCAAGATCATGACCTGAACCCAAGGCAGACGCTTAACCGACTTAGCCACCCAGGCGCCCCAAGTCAGAGCATTTCATATTTTATATACATGTTATATCTTATTACATCCTGAAAATTCAAAGTGACTCTCTGAGTACTGCTCACAGGATGGGTTGTCCTTTCGTAGGCGACGTGAGGAATGATATATACGTCACCCTAATCCACGGGGAGTTTGACAAAGGGAAAAAGAAGACGCCGAAGAACGTGGAGGTGACCATGTCTGTGTACGATGAGGAGGGCAAGCTCTTGGAGGTAGGTGGGACCACCCAGAAGTCCTGCTGCCATCACACACTTCTTTCCAACAGAGGACTTTGGTCTGAGGTGACTTGCTCTCCATGTTAGTGTGCGTTTGCTTTCTTCATAAGGAAAAGGGATGAAACCTATTAAACTTGTGATTAGCAATTACTGAGTTTACTAAGGAACCCATTTAGACTCTTATTTTCAAAATTTAAATTTTTTTAGAAGATTTTATTTATTTGACAGAAATAGAGCACAAGCAGGGAGAGTAGCAGAGGGAGAGGGATAAGCAGGCTCCCTAATTAGCAGGGAGCCCGATGTGGGGCTCGATCCCAGGACCCCAGGATCATGACCAGAGCCGAAGGCAGCCACTTAACCGACTATAGACTCTTATTTTCATTATTTCTTCTGTTCTAAGAAGTATTTCCAGCCCCTATTGATTTCATGTTTATGCTTCTGATCCAGAAGTTCTGTATCATTTGCAAGTTATTTGGCCAGTTTCAAGCCTGGTAGGGCTTGTGGGGCTGGCGTGGAGTGGGTGGCATGGGTGCCCAGAAGGCACTGCAGGTACCAAGCCAGAGAACCAGAGGAGGTACTGCCTGTAGAGAGCTGTTAAACTGGTAGAGCTCTTGGGTCACATCAATTCCCCCTGGTCTTTAGGTTTTGTTTTAGTAATCAGGAAACTGCAACCCAAAAGGGGTAAGAAATACAGAAGGTCGTGGAGGAGGTAGGTCTAGATCCAGGTATCCTGGCTTTCAGTCTGGAGTTTCTCCACCCGTGGAGCCTTCTGTCCAGACAGAGAAGTAGTGGTTGTTGATTCTGAAATCACGGAGGCTCTTATTGTCTCAGCTGAGATCCAGCTCCCCCGATATGAGCCTTAGTTACCACTAGTTACCTTCTGTGGCACTGAAGACCCAAGCTCTCTGAGTGCCTGCTCACCAGAATCCGTGAGGGCATGGCAGAGGGCGCACCCCCTTCCTTCCCATTTGCATGATCACCTTTGAAGGCAACCGGGGACTGAATAAAGTCATAGTCCGTGTTGGGGGGGCAAACGATGTGTTGGGCCCTGGTAGGGGGGGTGACTTCTTCGTGCTACTGATAGAGCCTTTGAGCCCCGTGAGTTCAGGGGTGCGTCTTCTCCTAATGGTTCCCATCACAGCTTTGCTAACTAGGTTGGAAGTGACCCCTTTGAGGCCTGGTTTTACTGAAGTAAGTGACTCATTACCAGGAGAAGACACAGCCCTGAGTTTTAGTGAACACACTAGACCTGTACACCAGGTCCTTAAAGCAGAGCACAGACAGGACCTCCTGCAGTGGTGCATCTGCACGTGTGCCACGGTTCCCGGTCACCTGCACCGGCCTGCTGCTCCCTGAGAGAGAAAGGAAGAGGAAGGAAGGAGAATGTTTGTCTGCAGATGGAAGAGAGAATGAAGTTTACGGCATGGGGGTGTTAGGGTGATGCTGGGTCCCTTAGTGACTACCCAGTTCTGTACTTACACCCTCAAACAAAGGAGCAGAAACTCATTCTTCCCCCTGCTCTTCAGCCTCCAAGTGTGACTGGCTGCTATGTGCCAGTGAGGGGCACACGCTGGCCACGTGGAGGGTAGAGGGCTCACACGTGGTGTGTGGAGTGCTCTTATTTTTCTTGATGAAGTTATTCCTTTTTAGTATTTACTCCCAAAAGACAAAAACACTAACTCTGAGGGATACATGCACCCCTGTTTACAACAGCATTATCTACAACAGCCAAGTTATGGAAACAGCCCAGTGTCCATCAGCTGATGAGTGGATAAAGAAGATGGGTATATACACACAATGGGTTATTACCCAGCCATCAAAAGAATGAAATCTTGCCATTTGCAACAACCTGGGCAGAGCTAGAGAGTATTATGCTAAGCGAAATAAGTTACTCAGACAAAGACAAATATTATATGACTTCACGCATGTGTGGAATTTAAGAAACAAAACAAACGAGGGGAAGGGGAAGGGGAAGAAAACAGAGACAAACCAAGAAACCGATTCTTAACCATAGAGAACAGATGGCCACCAGACAAGTTGGGTGGGGGGATGGGTGAAACGGGTTGGCTGCAGAGCACACCTGCGATGAGCGCTGAGTAATGTATAGAATTGTCAAATCTCTGTATTATGCACTGGAAACTAATACAACACTGTATGTCCACTCTACTGGAATTAAAATAAAAAGCAGTCAAAAAATCATCTTTTAATTTTTCTTTCCATCCAAAGAAAGCAATTCATCCTGGTGCTGGATATGAAGGCATTTCAGAGTACAAATCAGTAGTCTATTACCAAGTCAAGCAGCCCTGTTGGTATGAGACTGTCAAGGTGAGATGTGCCATTTGTAACCTCCTTCATATGTCAAACCTCATGTGGATTCCTTTCTTCTTTTCTACCCACAAATCATTCCTTCTTTATCCTGTAGTTATAGTGGGTTGGTACGGTGTCCTATAAGAAATGAATTGATGCAATTCTGCATGAGAGTATTTATCTTTAACTCAGAGTTCTTAAATAACATTCTCATTGATAAATGTGTACAAATTTGACTAGAGACGCTGATAGTCGTAATGATGTAATAGGCTGCCATGACCATCCAAAACCAAATGGAAATTTTCACACTCAGCGAGCAGTAGCCTAACATTTTTTCCTTCCTGGCCTCTGACCAAGTTTTCTGGGCCTCTTTTCAATTTAAATATGTGTATTACAAATTCCCAGGTGCTTTTCAGATAAGCCATGCCCTGTGAGTCTCTCAGTACCCTGTGGCTAAAACAGTGTCGTAATGCCCTTTCTGATTAGGTAACGAAGGCTCAAAAATGTCAGGTGATTTTTCCGAGATCCTATAACAGCTTAGTGTCCAAACATAAATTGGAGCCCACTTCTGAATCCCAGATTGTCATAGTCAAATTGGATTGTCAAAGTCTTATGAGCTCTCCCTAGAAAACTCAAAAAAAAAAAAAAAAAAATTGCGCTAATATCTCAATGCAGGAGTGATTATTTTCCACAACTTTGTATGCTTCATATGTTTTGGAATGTGGTGTTTATAACAGATGTATATTGTGCTTTTTAAAACTACTTATCTCAAGGCATTAAGGGTTCTTTGGAAATGGGTTTCTAGGTACTTGGGTAATATTCCATTATATGATCATGCTATAATTTATTTAACTATTTGCCACAAATTCTCTGCCCTTTTCATTGCCATGAACTTGTTTTTCTTGTCCCCTCTATATACATAAACAGCAGAAAGCTTCCTTGTCCCCAGTATTCTGTCTTTTCTTCCTGGGTATGGACCTTCGTTATTACCATATCAATAAACATACAATATACCTTGCAGTCTGGAAGCTCCTGCATAGATAGACCCCACAGTCCTGGTCTTTCTCCTCTGAAATCTTTCCTCTTTCATGCTTGAGAAAGTACTAGAAACTTGTAATATCTCCATCCTCAGAATCCCTGACAAATGGCAAAGATAATTTCTCTTGAGATTCTTTAGGTTTTGGAAATAACTCCGTCTGTTTTGAATGGAACTTTACTCTCAATCTCACTGTGTAGAAATTAGTGCTTTAATAAGATACTGAAAATGAACCAGCTCTGTCAGATGAGCTAAGAGTGCAACGTGCTGTGGAAATACCAACTGTAAGTTTCTTATCACTGCGCAGGTTTCCATTGCTATAGAGGAGGTTACTCGCTGCCATATACGATTTACCTTCCGGCACAGGTCATCTCAGGAATGTAAGTACTAGAAGGTCGGCAACATATTTCTGTTAAAAAATATATATATAAAATAAAAAATTATAAATATATATCTATCTATACATATAGATAGATATATATTTACTCTTGCTTGTCAGTACTTTCATGGGTCTAGAAATCAAAATACTTGGAAACTAGGGCCTTCACATCATTACTTCAGGATTCATGTGGTGCTAAGGAAATCAGAAAGACAAAGACCATATGTTGTCACTCATATGTGGAATTTAAGGAACAAAACAGGTGAACATAGGGGAAGGGAAGGAAAAATAAGAGAGGAAGGCAGACCATAAGAGACTCCTAACTCTAGGGAACAAATTGAGGGTTGCCGGACGAGTGTGGGGGGATGGGCTACCTGGGTGATGGGCATTAAGGAGGCATGTGATGTGATGAGCACTGGGTGTTATATGCAACCAGTGAATCACTAAACTCTGTGCCTGCAACTAATAATAAATTTATGTTAACTAAGTTGAATTTCAATAAAAAAAATTTTTTTAACAAGGATTTCCCCAAAATGGGTTCTGTGAATGTTAAGATTCTGTATGATGTTAAATGGTGCCCTATAAGGGTTTCACAGGCTAGGACACGGGTAGTGCTCTGAAGTCTCTGCTGCTCTGGTTAGGAAGATGAGCAAGGGAAAAGGCAACTAAGGTCAGAGCAGTGTGGTCGGTGCACGGCAGCAAGGAGCTGTAAGGGACCACGTAGCACAGCGTCCAACCCTGTCATCCATGCGTGATCTCGACATCCTAACCGAGACTTGCTGGTGTAGAAGGAACCGAGGTCAGCCCAGGGAGGAGTGGTGGTGGAGAAATGTGTTCGAAACCCACAAGGCGAATGCAGTAGGGCTGAAGCGAGAGCAGTGGGAGCAGTCATAATGTTAGGTTGAACGCCACGAAATTGTCATTCCGGGGGGTCAGCATCCAATGGGCAAATATCAGCAATTTCCTCTGGTTCTACAGAAATAGCATTTATCAGGCCTTTAGTTTGGATGAGACACTAAAAGAATCTCTACTTATGCGCTATGTAGTATCCACAGTCACCTGATAAGATACATAATGCTTTTATCCACATTTATACAAAAAGGAAACTGAGCCCAGAGAAATGAGATCCTTGCCTGGGGTCGTGGAGCTGGGGAGTGACAGAGCCCAGACTGACACTTCAGCGGTCTGAATCCAGGCAGACTAGAGCCACATCATGAATGATGAAGGTTAATTTGAATGAGGTTATGGAGGAGCCCTTAAAAGATGTTATGGGTGCTCGTGGTGGTGGTTGTGGTTTGGTGTATGTTTATAACAGCTTTATTCATAATATCCCCACATTGGATATAGCCTAATGGCCACCAACAAGACACTGGATAAATAAATTGTAATGTAATCCTATAGTGGTTTACTCCTCAGCCGATCTAGGGGCACATGAGGCACAGCTGACCTCAGAGCTGTGCGTGTGATGAGAGCAGGCCACAGGTTGCCCCCGGCATCAACACCTAGTTGGGGGACAGTGAGCTCAAAAACCAACACCTAAAGATCCAGAGGAAGGTGTTCTGCTTCCTGGGGGAGGCCGGACCCTCCTGGCACCTGGGGTACTCTCTTGGAAGGAAGAGGCGGCATAATAAACCTGGGAATATAATGAATACTTCGCTGAGTCTACCTTAAAGCAGCAGAAATGTATCTCCTGAAGGTGTTTGGTTGACTGACTAGATCTGCTTTTGGAAATCTCTCTCTGCAGTGTGGAGACAAGGACTGCTTGGAAAGATCCTCTAGAAACACAGGGGAGACTTGAATGGAACTAGGTTAGGAACAGAACGGAGGGAGAGGAAAGGCAGAGGTTTCGGAGGTCTTCAGTACCTAGAGTTGACATGGTTGTGGGGGAGGGCAGTGTCAACGTCCGCATTTCTGATTTGGGTGAGTGGGTAGTTGCTGGTCTCACTCAGTTGCAAATGTAGGAAGAAGAACACAACATGAAGGTACTAGAAGATTTCAGCATGGGGAATATTTCCTTTGAGGGGCCCATGGCGAGCACAGTACACGTGGCTTATTGTAGCTTGCTGAATGGTGTTGATGAGAGCGTGACCCAGTCTCACAGCCTGGAGCAAAATGAGAAATTGTCCGTTACAGCCAGCGCTTCCAGCTGCCGTTCCATACCACTCAGACCCGTATTTCTGTCTTTTCAGCCAGAGATAAATCGGAGCGGGCCTTTGGCGTGGCCTTCGTGAAACTGATGAACCCAGACGGTACCACTCTGCAGGATGGGAGGCATGATCTGGTGGTTTATAAGGTGCTGCTCACAGAACGAGGCTCAGAAAATGACTTGGGAAATATTTACTCCCTCTGAAATGGGTTCTCGAGGCTCCAGTCAGAATTACGTGGATAAACATCAGACACTTCTCTGGAGCCATAAGTGTTGGCCCCTTAAGTCTAGAAAGCCAGAGGGCTCCAGCTGCAGGGTTTCCCATCCCCTTTGTATGAGGAGTGAGTTGTATAAATGTCAGAGCCTCTGAAGAACATCTCCGTCGCCTGCAGCGGAGTTCTGTGGCGGTGGGTGGTCAAGGGCTGCCCCTTGCCTCTCCTCTGCATCGTCCTGCATGAGACAGAGACAGTTGCACTGTTGGGCCTGGTGGGGGGTGTGGTGGGTGTGGTAGGATGTGGTTTTCATATCGCCCAGAGCCGAGCACCATTTCTCTGCTTAGGGGCCCTTGCTTCTTTCCCCAGCTGTTCGGTCCTCACTCTTTAACTGCTACGAAATTATCTTCTGAGATTTTTTGAGTGGAAAGTAAGACCTAGGAAGGTCTCGTTTATCTAACGATATCACAGAACCGGTAGCTTCTTTGAGCTGCATCTACTTGGTGTGGGTCTTCTGTTTAACAGCTCCTGATGTTTTGGAAGGCGTGGCAAGCTGTTCCCTCCCAATGAATCCAGTCATCCCCTCAACCCAATGACGCATCATTCTGACCATTTATAGGTTCAAGAAAATGAAATCGAACCTCGGTCCTTCATATTTACTTATTTATTTATTTCAGAGATCTAGGATGTTCTCAGTTAGTAGTTCACAACTTTTTCCATTTTTATTCAGTGTTGAAATTATTCTGGGCTCCAGTCCTGGAGAAGTATCACAGTGTCTTAGAGTTGGAAGGAACATAAGTGTAATTTGATAAAACCGTGTTTCACTCCCTGGATCATGTGCTCATGATAGAAACTACTGTTATTTGCCCATAATTTGGTGTCCCTCACCCACTTCATTTTCAGGGTGACAACAAGAAAATGGAAGATGCTAAATTCTATCTGACCCTACCGGGAACCAAGGTCGAGATGGAAGAAAAAGAGCTGCAAGCATCCAAAACCCTGGCCAACTTTACCCCGAGCAGGGACAGCACAAAAGACAGCTTTCAGATTGCCACCCTCATTTGCTCCACAAAACTCACCCAGAATGGTAGGTGACCCCACAATGGGTTTTCTCTTTGGTGTACCTGGGCTCCTTTGTTGGACCCAGTGGGGCTGGGCCACATGGGTGTCTTCCAAGGCCGGATGCGGGGCACTTCGGATTCTACTCCCTGCCCTTCATGTGATATTCTGGGTGCCACTGGTCGCAAAGCTCACGCTCAGTCTGAGGTTATCTTGCCTATCTTCCAAATAGGATGAAAAGTAGTTTGTATTGCTTAAGATCATACAACCTGTAAATGTAATTCATGAACAGAGGCTGAAAAATTTTTTGTTTTGTTTCCTTCCTTCACGGCAGCAAAGAGCCCTGATAATGTACTCTGTAATAAAATATGAAACAACAGATGTTGGTAATTAGGGGGAGGGTACTGATAGAGAAAAAGAACTTGTCTCGTGCCCAAATAGGTATGGCCAAGAGCAGGAAAGGTTTCCTGTTAGAATTCCATCTGCCCCCTCCCCACCGAGCCTCCTCTTTCCCATTTTTTCCCAAGCAGTTGAGGGCTTTTCATAAAATCACCTGAATAGTTCAGATGGGCCTCGCTTTGTTCCTTCTTAAAATCTCTGGTATCAATTTTAACTTCTCTTCTGTATATACAATGGCATTTGATATCCAATAATGGCTTTTCATTCAGTTAACTTACGGGTAAGGGGTCCTGCTGAACATAGTGAGCCAAGAATAAGGAACTCTGGGAACTTGCCTTCGAAATCCTATAGCCCCTATGATGGATAGAGGATTAGTTACTTTGGCCTTTTAGGAGATTTGGGTGAGGAACACGGCTGGGACTCTGCCTTACGGAAGTGCTAAGGAATAGACAAAACAGTTTAGACAGAAGAGGTACACTCAGGGATCAGATGTTGGTTGATCTTTAAAAGGGGTCAGTATTGTTTGTTTTGATGAATCATGGTTGGCTAGAGAACACGGATAGTATTTCAACTTGGACAAGGGGCCAGACTCAACAGAGTGAAGTACAGAGCTGATACATATGCGAAAAGTACAAACACACTCACCAAGAATTAAGCCAGAAACAAGGCCAAACTGTGGAGACGGTGAAAAGTTTCATGGTTGCAAAGGCCTTAGAGGGAGGAGGAGGGATGAGTAGGCAGAGCTCAGGGGATTTCTAGGGCAGCAAAGCTACACTACACGGAACCACGATGGATCCGTGGATACACGTCATTACGCATTTGTCAAAAGCTACAGAATGAGCTACACAGAATAAACCCTAACATAAACTGTGGACTTCAGTTCACGAACGCTATTAATATTAGGTCACCAGTTCCAAGATGTACTACACTAATACAAGATGTTAATAGTAGAGGAGCTGGGTGCACGGGGAGCGTATGTGCGAACTCTCTGTACTTTGTGCTTCGTTTTTCAGTAAACCTAAAACTGCTCCCAGAAAAACAAAGTCTATTAAGAGAAAAACAAAAATATAGCCAGAAAACATTCTGAGCTTCATAGACAACATGACGAACTCAATCAGTGACCTAATCCTTCTTAGGGAAAAAGTCAATGTAAGAAACTGTGGGTACCGGGTTAAATGATACAGTATTGACAGAAGATGACTTAGAAGGTGTATCAAAGGTTTTGAATATATTCAGACCCTTTGAGCCACTTACCTCACCCCTAGAAATGAAACTTAAGTAAACAATGAAAGACGAGCACAGAGATTCATGAATGAAGATGTCTCCGTATTACTCATAATAGGGGAATAGCGGAAATAATCCACATGTCCAATAATTGGGGACATGATTATGTAATTAAATGACATATGTGCAGCTGCCAAATATCTGTCAAAATGTAATCAAAGACTTGAAAACTTGAGCCGTAGGCAGGGCATAATCCTAATTTGCCTAGGTACATGTTGACAATTTGGAGCCAATTTCCTGGGTTCAAATCCCAGCCCTGCCCCTAGCTGTTGCATCTCAGGCAGGCCACATGTCTTCTTTGTGACTCAGTGTCCTCATCTTTAAAATGGGAGTGATACTAGTGTATACTTAAAGAATGAAGTAAATTAAGTAAAAGCAAAACATGTGTCTTGCCCATTGTAAACTATGTGAATATTAGCCTCCACGACTACCACCATCGTCATCACCATCAACGTTGTCATATATACACAGGAAAGTACTAAAGGGAAAGATGCCGGAAATTGGGACAGCGTTTATTTTCTGTGCTCTTTCTGTTACTTTCCAATCCTCTAACTCTGAAATGTTAAAATGGTATTTTTGTAAGTATGGCAGCAGGCAATACAAAGACTTAATGTGCTTTGGGGACTTTTAAGAGATAGTGAAGAAAGATGGAATTTATCCAATAGATATCCTTTCCAGAGATTAGACTTCAAAGTAAAGCAAGTGACCAAAGTAGCTAAAATTAACTTATAATGGAAAGCAGAAGGAATTTCCATGAAACATAACCATATAGTTAAATTGTTTCTTATCTCCAGTCAGAAATACAGGAAGCGTATGGACAGGTGGCAGTACTCAGACACTTGATTTGCCGATATCTGCGTCGCTCATCTTCTAGATATTCTAAAGCTGTGCTGTCCCCTGTGGCAGTCACCAGGCATGTGGAGCTTGTGAAATTTAGTGTCAGAGGGAAGTATGGTTGCTCTAGTCTCGTTTCGGGGGTTCCATGGTTTCGTGCTGCTGGTGGCTTTCGTGTTGGCTCTTAGACAAACAGCGTTGCCGTCATCCCAGAAAGTTCCATCAGGTGGAACTGCTCTCTGCTTTGTTGTCCACCCCATTCCTAGTGGTTAGGTCTCAAAAAAACTCAAATACAAACCAGACCAAACCAAACCAAAGTCATACAATAACCTACCCCAAAGAAGGTTGAAAGAGGCAGATTCATGGGAACCAGGGAAGAGAGATGTGATATCCTCTGGGCCAGGGTGGGGTGGGAGGGAGGACAGATGTGCAAAAAGTGAAGGAAACAGCGGGACATCCGAGCATCAGAGGACACAGGGCATTCTGAGGGACAAATAACGATAATAAGGATTGTGGGTGGTTCATGTATTTGATTTCTTCTAATTGGATGGAAGTTATAAGGAACCACTTTAATGTGTTCTGAGAAAGAGGAAGCTGAAGAACAGTAAGAAACCCTCCACTCCAAGAGGGCACTTCTGATAAAGAGGGTGGCGGTTCTTTTACAGAGACCATGACCAAGGGCATTTCTCCTTAGCCTTACAAAGGACTATTCAGATTCTAAAGGTCAAAAGCCACAGGCCATTGTTGCAAACAGAGCTTGTAGACTCTTCATTTATAAATTTTTTTCAAAACTAGATCAAGCCCGATTTACATGGGACCATTTATTACTGGGCCCCTTTGGAGGCTGAGAATAGATTTGTAGCTCCAACAAAGGGAGAAGGGAGTTCAGGTCCTTGCAGTTGTGGGGCCTGGTGCCACACGATTCCCAGAGTCATCTTATCTTACTCTCCAAACCCTAACACAGGAAGATGCCGGCGTTGCCATTACTCTCCTGTTTCAATCAGAAAGTTGAATTAAAGTTCTAGAATATTTTGTCTAAGTTCATAGTAGTGGGCATGGATCTGAAAATAGATATTTGTAACCCCAAAACTTAACGGTTTTTCTTTATTTTTCTTTTTTAAGTGTTATGGTCTCTAATCCTTTGCCCAAAGTAGTCACTGGCCTAAATTTGGGGATTGTCATATCAGACTATCCCGAATTCTTAAATACTTTGGGGAAGGACGTCAATTGAGAGGACTTTGGATAACATTTGGGTGAAATTCCATTCTAGATTTATTGCCCAGAGAAACTGCTGTACCTGGAAACCAGGAGATGCCTGGGAATGTTCATGGCAGAATTGTTTGTGATAAATAGAAAAAACTGCGAACAACTCCAGTGTTTATCAGCCGTGGAATGGACAAACACAGTGTGGTGCATCCGCCCAAGAGGAGAGATACTAGTTAGAAACTGACAGGAATTAACTAGAGCCACTTGCCTCAACCCACTTGAGTCTCAGGAGCACAGGAAGTCTGGGGACTTTGCTCTAATGGGGCCTCCGCTTTTCTAGCCCCAGGACCTTATGATTCACCAGATGCCAGCTCTGTTCCTGACACTGCCGGTGATGTGGCATGCAAATATTTCTAGGGCGTAAACCTCTGGGCTGATAGAAGAGTTGTTTGCAGATGCTTAAAGCTGCCAAGCGACTCTTCACTCTGGTGAAGTATCTAAATCCTTTTCCTCAGGCAGCAACTAGTGGAGGGAAGTAACAAATGGAGCCATACCATTGACTTGCCTCTGGTGGAAGTAGGAGATGGGAAGCGGACAAGCCCAGCACACGGTCTATTACTAAGTGCTAACTGAACAAATGAGTAAATCCAAGAACTGTGTCGGGCACACTGCCTGTTCCCTCAGGGCTACCGGTTCCCTTTCCACCCAAATATTTATTCTGCAGCAAACATGGCGCCTGGTGCCATGATGGCGTATCACAATGAATGCAACTGATTCCTGCCCTCAAATGGCTCAAGTCTGTGGGAAGAGCCAAAGAAATACCGAGTGTGTCTTTATTATTCGCTATGTTTGTCTATGTATATGCATATGTATATGTAGGAAAGAGTACAAATAGCGCAGAATGATTTGAGGTGGGTCTTAAACGTAAGTACGAGCTTATCAGATAATAGTGTTGAATAATATCTGGTAATTTCAGACAAAGGGAAGACCATATGGAAAGACCTGGATCTATCAGAGTGTGCCACAGTCTGGGGAGTAGTGATCTGATCTGTCTGGTTGCTGAGGGGTAACAAAATGGTGGGCGATGGGCTGGCAGGAAGGCCATGGGTGGGGCCTCACCCCCTTCTATGAATGGTATCGTGACTTTATTCTGTTGACAGAGAGGAGTCTCTAGGCACTGGATTTTGGAGGTTTCCCAGGGACTAAAGCTAATAAAACAAGCCAATAAAGCAAACACTCATGAAGCAAATGGGCTATTCTAATGAACAGTGTATGTTTTTAATGACTTCTGTATATTATACAAGTCCATTGATTAAGAAGCATGTGTGCTACTTATACTAGATAATGCTCTGTAAATTGGAATAGTAGCTTAATGTACCACACAAAATGACAAAATAGTAACAGCCCAGATGCCTGTTACATTTCACTGTGACACTTTCAACATTGATTAAAACTATAAGTGGCTTAAAGATCCATAATTCTACACTTTAAATCCAAATACACCTCAAGATTTCTGTATAGTCTTACCCCAAGGACAGTGAGTCTGTTCCTCCTTCCTTTGAAATAGCAGTCTGTTGGATTTGCTTGTCTGTTTCTTTGAAGAACTCTTGGAAGGCAGTGTGATAGAGTCGCAAGGACATGGTTTTTTGGGAATCAGATAAATCTATAATTAAATCCCACTCATAGCACTCCCTGGCTATTATGTGACCTAAGGCAAGTTATTTAATTTTATAAAGGCCTGTTTCATCAACTGAAAAATGGGAAAAAATGCCGTCTCTACACTGTGGATGCAGTGTTTAAATGGATTAGTGTGGGGCAGTTGGGTCGCTCAGTTGGTTAAGCATCCAGCTCTTGGTTTCGGCTCAGAGTCGAGATGGAGCCCCATGTCAGACTCTGTGTTCAGTGTGGAGTCTTCTTGAGATTCTGTCTTCCTTTCCCTCTGCTCATGCTCTCTCTCCCTCCCTTTCTCTGTCTCTCTCTCTCTCTAAGTGAAAAGATCTTTTAAGAAATAAATATATCAGTATATATGTATATAAGTTCCCTTTTCCCTTTTTATCTACTGAGATACACATAGTGGCAAGGGATGAATTAAGCAGTGCTGCAAATTGAAGATACGAAGTTTCCTTAAGAGTGTTTTTAGGATGCCTGTGTGGCCCAGTCAGTTAAGCATCTGATTCTTGATTTTGGCTCAGGTCATGATCTCAGATTGGGGGATCGAGTTCCAAGTCAAGCTCTGTACTCAGTGTGGAGTCTGCTTCTCCTTCTGCCCCTCCCCACTCCAGCTCATTCTCGCTTGCTGTCTCTCAAATAAATAAATAAAATTTTTTTTTTAAATGTTTCCAACTTTTCATATGGTTATGACATAATCATTTCAGAAATATGACTTCCATTCAGGAATTCAATTTTATGTTCTCATGTATTAGTGGTTAATTTTTTTCTCTGAAGACTGAAAGACTGCAAGGTTTTTTCTGGTCTAGATAGGAGACATAAATTAAAAAAAAATACACAAGGAATTATCCATTATTAAGAACAGTTATCTTTTCTAGAGAGTTCTGTAGTTATATCCTGAAATAGTGTGTATTACTTCTTCTAATCAATGTCTGATTTTATGGTTTGTGGTCATTCTTCCTAGTTGACCTGTTGGGCTTGTTAAATTGGCGTTCCAATTCCCAGAACATTAAACACAACTTAAAGAAGTTAATGGAGGTGGATGGAGGCGAGATTGTTAAGGTATGTTTATGTATTCGTGGTTAGAAACACAGTCACAGTATCATTAGTTCTATATTACAAATTAAATCAGTGGTCAGAAATATAAAATTTGTTATCTACATTGGAAAGCAGAAGTGCCAGTTTTTAAGAAATGCTATTTTTATACTCATTTATACTCATTTTATACTCATTTATACTCATTCTATTGCAACCTAATTTCTCTGAAATTTTGCAGTATGGAGCTGAACTGAAAGCATGAAATAACCTCTCTGTTTTACGTTCAGTTTTTGCAAGATACACTAGATGCACTTTTTAACATAATGATGGAGATGTCAGATAATGAAACCTATGACTTCCTCGTGTTTGATGCACTGGTAAGCACTTAAACACATTAACTAATTTATTCTCACAACTGTGTAGTGTTCAGTATTTCGCTGTTGTAAATGACTGCAGTGATTATCCTTTCTGCACAAATACTTGGATACATCTCTCTGTTTCTGGAAGTTAAAAGAAACAACTGACTTATAGGGTATCTGGGTGGCTCAGTGGGATAAGCCTCTGACTTTGGCTCAGGTCATGATCTCAGGGTCCTGGGATCAAGCCCCACACTGGGCTCTCTGCTCAGCAGGGAATTTGCTTCCCTTTCCCTCTCTGCCTGCCTCTCTGCCTACTTGTGATCTGTCTGTCAAATAAATAAAGAAAAATTCTTAAAAAAAAAAAGAAACAACTGACTTATGTTTAAAGACTTTATTGTTCTGTTACATGATATGCTTGCTTTCTCATTAGGGTAAATGAGGTATTATATTACATTAGAAATCAGGAATCACTTTAACTTTAAAATTGCCTAGTTATAAACCAGGAGATACCGTTAATGAGGGTGATTGTGGCTCTGTTGTGTGCGCTTGTACGTTCATACAAGGGAGACTGAATTCACACATTGGAAACGAGTATCAGTCTCATTCTGTACAACATACAGCGCATTCCAAAAACTGAAATCCAGACCCGTCTGGAGACGGGTCATCTGGAGAGATGATCATCTGGAGAGATGATGTTAGAGTCTTGGAAGGCGGGTTGCCTGGGTGGCTCAGTTGGTTTCTGCCTTCAGCTCAGGTCATGATCCCAGGGACCTGCAATCTAGCCCCATGTCAGGTTCCTTGCTCAGCAGGGAACCGTTTCTCCCCCTCCCTCTGCCGCTCCCTCTGCTTGTGCTCTCTCACTCTATGTCAAATAAACAAATCTTAAAAAACAAAAAGAATCTTGGAAGGCTACAAATCGTGGTGGAGTGAGTGAAGAAAGCCGACACATCCAAACCAAGCATGTTTTCTCATTGTTGGGGTTAAGATTCTGTGCAGAATTTACCTGGATGTTGCAGCAAAGGAATGCTGGCTGTTTCACCAGTTTAGAGAAATTAATACATTCAAGAAGTGGTCAAGGCATTAAGGGTACAAAATCAAGAGAGGAAATGGTCCCGCTGAGATTCACCTAGCCAGATTCATGGAAAAGAATGGTTCCGGGTTCTGTGGGATGGGGTCTGCAGATTCTCCTGGGATGGAGCAGCTGGCAGTGGGTATATGCAGTCACCCCGGGGGTCCTTCTTCTGCATTCTTTGTCATCAGTGGGTGCCACATGGTGGTTTTTTATTATGTGCCTCATAGGGATACCATTCCCAGAAAAAGGGGAAATTGAGAGACAAAAGTCTGATAAAGTTGAGTTACTGGGGGCACTCCTGCTGCACTCGGGAGAGTGTGGTCACGAAATAATTCATCAGCTGCATCCTTGGGTTCGAGTTTTCTTTTGTCTTTCTTCTGCCTCTCCCCATCTTCTTCCCTGACTCATCTTGCTTGTGCACTGGCCTCTCTTGGAGACAGTGAGCTCCCTGAGGCCAGGGGCGGGCTCTTAGATTCTCCATATCATTTAGCCCAGTGCCTGACACATCGTAGTTTCTCTGTTGATTGTTAAATAAAAAGAAACTCCACGACTTGACTTCAGCTCTGGAATAGTAAAGTGGAAATGCTTCAGAAGTGGTCAAGAAAGAAAAGCAGGCACCAAGATCCGGCCTCTTAACAGAATCAATGCCTGGGGTCGTGCCGTGCTGCTATCTATGTTTTTCACCTTTGGCAGGTGTTCATTATCTCACTAATAGGAGACATCAAGTTCCAGCATTTTAATCCTGTCCTTGAAACCTACATCTACAAGCACTTCAGTGCCACTCTGGCTTACGTGTAAGTCTGATTCAAGGGGACTGCCTGCTGCTGGGCTGTTGGGTTTATATTCTCAGGGTTGGGTTGTTAAGAAATGCAAGGGACATAAGCTGACCCTAAGTGCAGAAGCTTGTTGTAAGCTTCTGGGGGGAGAAAGAGCACCAGCTAAGTGTTCCACCCCTGGGAAGGGCATTCAAGTAAGTCAATCCCTGCCTTCTGGGATGTCCCGAAGAGATAAGGCTCTCTGTCTTTAAGAATCCAGAACACTGAGAGACGAGGAGTTGAAGGCATCGAGAGCACAGTCAAGGACAGAAGATCATACTTGGGATCTTAGGAGAGTTGGGTGTCGGGGATTTGCAGGAAACCCCAAGGGGATCAAACAGTGGGTTAAGCAAGACTAAGTAGAAATGAGGGTCATGTCCTCAGCTGTACATCACAAGTGCTTTGTAGCATTTATTACTTACAGGATATGAGATGATGTCATTTTTCTTTCTTTTATATAAAGGAGAGTGGTCTCTGCCTTTTCCATGATCAGGTCATGGAAGCCTCCTTTCTGTCTTTGGTTTACGAGCCTCTGACTCAGGGAAGCAGCTAGCATGCGGCCCACCTCACCATGGCATTGTATGTGCCCTGT